TTTTTATGATGGGAGGTATAAAATTTACATTGAATGATGTATTATTCTCCCCAAAATCAACAATAAATTTGTTGAGTTTTAAAGATATCTGAATGAACGAATACCATGTTGAAACAATGAATAAAGGGGAGTTGAATATCTTTGCATTACCTCAAATATTGCGGGAAATAAATGTGTTTTGGAGAAATTACCATCTTTATCCTCGGGCTTATATTACACCCGCATTCATATTATCGAGACTTATGCTGCAACAAATTCACAGTCGGTTGAAATGTTTAAAATTTGGCATGATCGACTTGGTCATCCTGGCTCAATAACGATGTGAAGAATTATTGAAAATTCTAGTGGACATCCATTAAAAAATCAAAGGATACTGCAAACACATGAATTAACATGTGCCTCATGTTCTCAAAGGAAATTGATAATAAGACCATCACATACTAAAGTCGGACATGAGTCACCATTATTTTTGGAAAGGATTCATGGTGATATATGTGGACCTATTCATCCACCTTGTGGTCCATTCAGATATTTTATGGTGTTAATTGATGCCTCTAGTAGATGGTCTCACGTGAGTTTGTTATCCTCTAGAAATGTGGCATTTGCTAAATTACTTGCCCAACTTATCAAATTAAGGGCTCAATTCTCAGATTATATTATCAAAAGAGTCAGACTTGACAATGTTGGAGAGTTTACACTTCAAGCATTTAATGATTATTGTATGGCAGTGGGAATTGATGTTGAACATCCTGTAGCACATGTTCACGCTCAAAATGGTCTAGCAGAATCATTTATTAAACGACTGCAGCTTATAGCCAGACCATTGATAATGAAGACAAAACTCCCCACTTCAGTATGGGGACATGTTATTCTGCATGCAGATAATCTGATTCGAATAAGACCAAGTGCACACCATACATACTCGCCATTACAGTTGGCATATGGTCGAGAACCAAATATTGCACATATAAGAATTTTTAGTTGTGCAGTGTACGTATTAATTGCTCTACCCCAACGTACGAAAATGGGGCCTCAAAGAAGGTTGGGAATATATGTTGGATATGAATATCCATCAATAATAAAATACCTTGAGCCAAAAACAGGTGATGTTTTTATAGCTCGGTTTGATGATTGTCATTTTAATGAAGAATTATTTCCCCATTTAGGTGGAAATGAAAAGTCAATTGAAAAAAAATATTGAATGGAGAATATCATCACTATCATATCTTGATTCTCCCACCAAACAAAAAGAGCAAGAAGTTCAAAAGATCATACATCTGCAGAATATTGCAAATCAATTGCCAGATACATTTACTGACACAAAAAGGGTGACAAAATCACATGTTGCAGCTATAAATGCCCCTGCTCGAATTGAGATTACAAAAGAAGTGGTAAATGACGATGTGCCAAATGAATTAAAGGCACGCTTGAAACGAGGAAGACTAGTGGGGTCTAAAGATAAGAATCCTCGAAAAAAAAAGAGAAATTCAAGATTCGAATTTGAAAAAGAATCAAGATGATGGAAAATTTCGGAACAAAATGAAAATATTGAAATCTCCATCAATTACGTAAATAATGGGAAACTTTGGAAGCGTGATGAGATCATTGATGATGCATTCGCATATATGGTATCACAAGAAATTGACAAAGAAGTTGAGGATCCTGAACCAAAATCTATGATTGAATGTCAGAAAAGACATGATTGGGACAAGTGGAAAGGTGCTATTCAAGCCGATTTAGATTCACTTAATAAACGAAAGGTTTTTTGACCTATAACCATTATACCCAAAGACATAAAACCTATTGGGTACAGATGGGTTTTTGTCAGAAAAAGAAATGAGAAAAATGAGATCACAAGATATAAAGCTCGTCTTGTAGCACAGAGATTCTCCTAGAGGCCTGGGATTGATTATGATGAAACATATTCCCCTGTTATGGATGCAATTACTTTCAGATACTTGATTAGTCTGGCCATTCATGAAAATCTTGAGATGCGCTTACTTATATGGATCGCTAGACACTGACATTTATATGAAAATTCTAGAAGGAATTAGAATACCCGAGGCGCTAAAGTCCAAACCTAAGGAGTTATGTGCGATAAAATTGAAAAGATCATTGTATGGCTTGAAACAATCCGGGCGTATGTGGTATAACTGTTTAAGTGAACAATTACTAAAACGGGGATACATAAATAATCAAATATGCCCGTGTGTTTTTATAAAAAGATCACAAGATGGAGTTGTGATAATTGCTGTCTATGTCGATGATCTTATTATTATTGGGACTACAAATGAAATCCAAGAAGCAATCACTTTACTGAAAGACGAGTTTGAAATGAAAGATCTCGGACAAACCAAATATTGTCTCGGCTTGCAAATAGAATGAGTTCAAAATGGGATATTTGTCCATCAATCTAATTACACTAAAAGAATACTGAAACGATTCAATATGGACAAGGCGAATCCACTTAGTACACCAATGGTCAATCGAACATTAGATGTTGAAAAAGATTCATTTCGACCTTGTGAAAAAGATGAAGAAATACTTGATCCTGAAATACCATATATGAGTGCAATAGGAGCTCTTATGTATCTTGCTAATTGCACCAGACCAGATATATCTTTCGCTACCAACTTATTAGCAAGATATAACTCGGCACCTACGAGGAGACATTGGAATGAAATCAAGCATATATTCCGTTATCTCCAAGGGACAATCGATTTGGGATTGTTTTACTCTAATGATAAAAAACATGAAATGGTCGGTTTTGCAGATGCAGGATATCTATCAGACCCCCATAAAGCATGATCTCAAACCGGCTATGTTTTCACGATTGGTGGAACTGCATTTTCTTGGCGCTCCCAGAAACAAACGTTAGTTGCGACGTCTTCAAACCATGCTGAGATCATTGCACTTCATGAAGCAACTAGGGAAAGTATTTGGCTCAAAAACATGACTCAACATATTCAATAAGCCAGTGGACTATCGAACAATAATGACCTGACGGTGATATTCGAAGACAATGCAGCATGTGTCGCTCAAACCAAAGAAGGATACATCAAGAATGACAGAACTAAACATATCCCGCCAAAGTTCTTCTCATATGCGCAAGAGCTTGAAAGAAACAAACAAATCAAAGTTCAATACATTCGATCAAGCGATAATGCAGCAGATTTATTTACGAAGGCGCTTCCGACGACAATATTTCGAAAGCACGTACACAATATTGGAATGAGACATCTTCGGGATTTGCATAGATAATAACTCGAGGGGAGTATGTGCGACTGTACTCTTTTTTCCTTATCTCAGTTTTTTCCCACATGGTTTTTCCAGATAAGGTTTTTAACGAGGCAGCATAAACGCACATTTAATAGTGGTAATTCCAAGGGGGAGTGTTATAAACAAGTGGTGGAATTTTACTACTATTAACAAACTTATCAATGTAATTATTATATTAGTGTTGTGTTGAAATGTGTGCCCATCTTTGCCTATAAAAAGGCAAGATATGTAGTGCAATTGATACACGGAAGAGAAAAGAAAAGAAAGCATCTTATAATTTATATCCGATTTTTACATTGTATTTTTTATATTCCCCGTATTGTATAACAAATATATATTTATTGAAAAAATATATAACATAGCGGACGCCTAACCAATTGATATATTTATTTACTGTTTTTTTTTTTTCTTTTCTTTTCAATATTGTTTTTCAGCACGTGCCGGTCGAACCGGGTCTGGTACCCGGCTCGTTCCTCATCTCTACAAAAAAGCGCGATGCTCCCGATGAAATTTCCCCCAATTCTTCTCCTTCCCTTCAATCGCCTTTAATGGAGTCTAAGAATTTCTTTAATTTTTCGTTTTAGTCTTCAAATGGAACAATTATTTGATCCAAATCGCTTTATCATCGGTTCATCGATCCATTTTTCCGACGAAGCTGTCGACTCCGAGGAATTCTAGGTTTTCACTTTGAATCATCCGATCTGTACGATTTATTCATCGAATTCGTTTGTGATTTTTGATTTTGCTATTTACAGCGCGTATTTCATGTTTGCCCCATGTTAATTGATTAAGAAGCTGTAATTTTATCCTGGGATCTGTCGATATAATAAGGTTTTCGTGTTCGTGTGGTTGCATGTTGTAGTGCTTCTTGGATTGGTGAATTGATATAGGGTTCTGGTAGGTCTGTCTCTGAATTGAGTTTTGATATATATTTTTGTACTTTTATGTGGTTTTTTGTGAATCTAGGGTTTGTGTTTTGTGTGAATCAGGTGGGTTGGGTTTTGGGAATCACTGATTTAGTTTCAAAGGGGTAATGAAGTTTTAGCTTTTAAGATGCTTGCTGATTGATGAAGGTTTGTTTGTTAATCTTGCTTTGTGTGTGATATAATTTTGTGTAATTTATTGTTTTCAGCGTATTGGTGCTAGTAATAAAGGATAATGTCATTGTACTCTCATCATCCACGTGCTTCCATTTTGTGATGAAAGTTGTTGCAAACTCGATATAGTAGTTGTTTCTTCATGAAGATAGCTAATCTAAGTATCTAACTTATAGTTTCTTTATTTAATTGTGTTCAAGCATGAAGTAGCTGACAATTTGTTTGCTTTTATCTGAGAAAATATGTCAAAAGTGATTACCTTAATTATGTTATTTTGTGGCTTCGTTTGGTTAGGGTTTTTTATTGCAATTTAATCTGGTTTCCGCATGTTTGCTAAATTGCAAGATTGTTTTTTTGCAAGATTTTTTCCACTAGTTATGTAACTTATCGCGCGTTGACCTGTGGGAGCACAAAGGCATTTAAGCCATGTGTAGAGTTATCCAGAAGCATTAATGTTGGTGCACGATACGTTTAGCCTTTTTCATTTTTATTGCCTTCTTACTTGTGTCCTGTATCACATAATCATTTGCTCTGTGTATTTATATCTAATAATTGCTGAATTTTTTACTTTGCAGAAATTCTCGTAATTGAATTTGTCCACATTCTGTCCCTATCATTCAGACGATGGGAATCAAACGTCCATTAGATGCGGAAGAGTTTCCAGAGCCTTCCTTCAGCCTACCTAAACCGCTTGATTATAACAAAAAGCTCAATTTAAATATAGATGAATCTCACATAAGTACTCCAATAGCTGATTTTCCTGGTAAACTGTGTTCTACGGTAGTGTATATTCTTTTACACTTATATCTACAATATTGAAAAAGATAAATTCATCTGTTACCCAGTAGCATTTAAAAAAAAAAAAAAAAATCTTTAAGTATATATTCTTACATAATTTGTTTATTAAATTGTGTTAAATTAAGCACTCACCTTTGTTGCTATCTGTACCTGGAAATATCTTTATCAACCATAGTTTAAAGCAAACTTATGCAAGTCTTACATAGGTTATATCCCGCTAGGTGGAGCGAAGAACGCGCTCTATGAGTTCCATTATGATGAACCTCTCGAGCACGACGAGCCAGACGATACTTATCCCGCTGACAGAGAATTCGAGCCGAGTGCACTCTTTTCTCTAGGCACCAGCAGCAGTAGTGAGGAAGAAGATTGCGGAGAAGGACCCACCTCTTTCTGGCCCTATCTCCCAGAAAACGACTTCAGCATACCAAGGCGCCCTACCGAACGTTTTCAGAACCCGTACATCTCCTTACTGTACGGGCCTCCCAGGAAGGAAGTCCCAGTTGGGCCGGACTACCAAGCTCAAATCCCTACATGTGACCCGAGCGCCAGCCAGAAAGAACTTCCCTTGATGGGGACCCGCATTATCTCTATGCCCGACACAAATGACTTGACCCTAGATGGGCTCGGGCGGGCTGCCTGCATCTGCCTTGACACTGGCTCCATGAGGTGCGTGCAGCAGCATGTGAAGGAGGCAAGGGGAAAGCTACTCGACTCAGTCGGGCCCGAGAATTTCGTGAAGCTGGGCTTGGACGAGATGGGGGAGGAGGTGGCCCGAAAGTGGGGCCAGGACGAGGAGCGGGCCTTTCATGAGATTGTCCTATCCAACCGTGTCGTGTTCTGGGAGCACCTGCGGGCCGAGTTCCCGGCCCGAACGATGAGGGAGTTTGTCAGCTATTACTTCAATGTGTTCATGCTCCGGAGGCGGGCCGCCCAGAATAGGTCGTTCGTGCTTGAGATTGATAGTGATGACGATGAGGGGCGGGAGGAGGATCTTGATTCGGTGTATAATGACGAGGCCCGGGGGCAAAATGGGGAATGCTATTTTTTCTGTGGGGGTGAGGAAGGAGATGTTGCCGGGTCGACGGTGAAGTCTTTGGGTGACGGGGATTTGGATGCCAGCTGGATGGACGAGTTCTGGGCCGAGCCTGGGAAAGTCGATGGGGATAACAAGGCTGGAAAACAAGAAAACTCATGTGGTGCTGATGTTGATGTTGAGAAGAAAGATGGTTTTGGAAGAGAAAACGAGGCGGCCAGACGAGATGATGAGAAGGTGCATGACGAGCCTGAATTGTAAAAACGGTAATTTGTAGTTATTGTTACTGGTGGGTGTAAAAGTAGAGTGGGGAGGAGGGATGGAACTTTAGTGTTCGATTGGGAAGTGGCTCGATGTAGCTTTGTTCGACCGAGCTATTTATGTAGAAGTGGGTAATTTAGTTTGCCTGGGGCTAAATTTGATGTTTTTGGTCAATTTTTTATTTACAAGAATTGTGTGTGGCTAATGCTGCAACATGAATTTTTGAGATGGCTCGCGTTTGGGGTGAATGAGATTGTAGGGAAAATGGCCTTCTTTGTGCTCTGTGAAATGCCCAACTTTGTACAGATATTTTCTAAAAGTTTTTAAGTTTATAGTTTATCAAGTTATGTATACGTTCTTGTTCATCCGAGGTAGTTTCGGTTCAGCTTCTCAAGAATCTATCCCCTAAGCAACAAATGTTTTTAGTAAGTTTTAGTTGTGGGTCCCGGTAGACCCCTTGTCATAAAAGAAAAACAGACTCTCATATTCGGTCGATTTTTTGTCATAAAAAAACGTGCATCACATATTTGGTTGACCTCTGCTCATCCTCGAGGGCCTCTGAAAATTAGGGTTCGATCCTGAAAGACGACTTAATCACCAGTCGTTGGCAATCCGCTCGTCTTTCTGCTCAGCGAACATGTCGAACGGATCCAACTCATAGATGATGTCTTCTTGATCCTCGCCACAAAAGTACGACGGAGGCGATCAGGTGCAGGACGCGTTGTCAGGTCCCCGACCGCAACTGCCACGCCTAGCCTCCGGCCAGCGGCGCGTGCGCTTGTTGTGGTCACGTGTGACCAGTGCCAGATGAATGTCCTCTACTGCCGTCCGCAACGTCGTTTTGTTTGGGGGGCATGGGTGTAAAAAACTGTACAGGTTTGTTGTTACCAACTGACATAGCAAAGGCGTAACACAATAGAGATTGAGAGAGAACTCTTGTATATTCTTAATTCAATTAAAATCAACTTACTTTAAACAAAAAAATAGGAGTCTAAAAGAGATTCTCTAACAACCCTAATAAAATAACTAACTTACCAAGAAATGATTAGGAGACAAGACACATCTTTCCTATAACTACATATACTTCCTACTAAATCCATAATTGTTAATAATAGAATAAAATAAGTACATTAATTAAACCAATGATGTCAAACGATCATGTCTGTCTAGAAAGACCAATGCAATCTCATCTCTATCGAAAATAAAAAGAAAAATGTCTATTTAAGAATAATTTAGTTTATAATATATTAAAACATCGCGTTTGCAAGCTCCGTGCTCGCAGACATTAGGTAGCAATGAGCCAAGGTGTTGCTGGCGTGAGGAGCGTCATTGACCATGACGAGCTTATCTGAACAGCTACCTAAACAAGTTTATGAGATAAGCTCGAGCTTTTTGAAAAAGCTCGTCCTACCAAACGAAAATTATTTAGATACAGGAAGTTTATAAGCTAACTAAATAAGCTATAAGGTAGCTTATTTATCTACCAAACATATGTAACACAAAGTTGATTTTAAGGCAGATCAGTTGGATTGTCGGAATCTCACCGGAAAATGCTCGATTAACAATCGAAAGAAAACTGGCAGATTGCGCACATTCTGACCGGCATACATCACTATCTTTGTATAAGATCGTGTAAAAAGACAAAAATTATTAAACAAAGTTTCTATCAAATATAAAATAAAACAACCTTTATCGTGGCTTATTAAATATATATATATATATATATATATATATATAT